TCGTGCAGTGTTGGATGCAAGCACAGACATGCAACCAGACACTGCAACCAGACATGGGCAACGAGTGAACAACGTGTAGTACACGAACTGGAGCTGTCATTTCGGCACAGCTGATGATTCCGACTCAATTGAATGGTGTTATCGAATGACCTAAGCACCGCATCAAGAGCCAGCAACAGTTGCGCTTCCCATCTTCGTGCGGTGTTGGATGCAAGCACAGACATGCAACCAGACATGCAACCAGACATGGGCAACGAGTGAACAACGTGCGGTACACGAACTGGAGCTGTCATTTCGGCACAGCTGATGACTCAATTGAATGGTGTTATTGCATGACCTAAGCACCGCATCAAGACCCAGCAGCAGTTGCGCTTCCCATCTTCGTGCGGTGTTGGATGCAAGCACAGACATGCAGCCAGACATGCAACCAGACATGGGCAACGAGTGAACAACGTGCGGGACACGAACTGGAGCTGTCATTTCGGCACAGCTGATGACTCAATTGAATGGTGTTATTGCATGACCTAAGCACCGCATCAAGACCCAGCAGCTGTTGCGCTTCCCATCTTCGTGCGGTGTTGGATGCAAGCACAGACATGCAACCAGACATGCAACCAGACATGGGCAACGAGTGAACAACGTGCGGGACACGAACTGGAGCTGTCATTTCGGCACAGCTGATGACTCAATTGAATGGTGTTATTGCATGACCTAAGCACCGCATCAAGACCCAGCAGCAGTTGCGCTTCCCATCTTCGTGCGGTGTTGGATGCAAGCACAGACATGCAACCAGACATGCAACCAGACATGGGCAACGAGTGAACAACGTGCGGGACACGAACTGGAGCTGTCATTTCGGCACAGCTGATGACTCAATTGAATGGTGTTATTGCATGACCTAAGCACCGCATCAAGACCCAGCAGCAGTTGCGCTTCCCATCTTCGTGCGGTGTTGGATGCAAGCACAGACAACCGACATGCAACCAGACATGGGCAACGAGTGAACAACGTGCGGGACACGAATTGGAGCTGTCATTACGGCACAGCTGGTGAATCAATTGAATGGTGTTATTGCATGACCTAAGCACCGCATCAAGACCCAGCAGCAGTTGCGCTTCCCATCTTCGTGCGGTGTTGGATGCAAGCACAGACATGCAACCAGACATGAACCAAGGCAACGAGTGAACAACGTGCGGGACACGAACTGGAGCTGTCATTTCGGCACAGCTGATGACTCAATTGAATCGTGTTATTGCATGACCTAAGCACCGCATCAAGACCCAGCAGCAGTTGCGCTTCCCATCTTCGTGCGGTGTTGGATGCAAGCACAGACATGCAACCAGACATGGGCAACGAGTGAACAACGTGCGGGACACGAACTGGAGCTGTCATTTCGGCACAGCTGATGATTCCGACTCATTTGAATGGTGTTATTGCATGACCTAAGCACCGCATCAAGACCCAGCAGCAGTTGCGCTTCCCATCTTCGTGCGGTGTTGGATGCAAGCACAGACATGCAACCAGACATGCAACCAGACATGGGCAACGAGTGAACAACGTGCGGGACACGAACTGGAGCTGTCATTTCGGCACAGCTGATGACTCAATTGAATGGTGTTATTGCATGACCTAAGCACCGCATCAAGACCCAGCAGCAGTTGCGCTTCCCATCTTCGTGCGGTGTTGGATGCAAGCACAGACATGCAACCAGACATGGGCAACGAGTGAACAACGTGCGGGACACGAACTGGAGCTGTCATTTCGGCACAGCTGATGATTCCGACTCATATGAGAGGTGTTATTGCATGACCTAAGCACCGCATCAAGACCCAGCAGCAGTTGCGCTTCCCATCTTCGTGCGGTGTTGGATGCAAGCACAGACATGCAACCAGACATGGGCAACGAGTGAACAACGTGCGGGACACGAACTGGAGCTGTCATTTCGGCACATCTGATGATTCCGACTCATATGAGAGGTGTTATTGCATGACCTAAGCACCGCATCAAGACCCAGCAGCAGTTGCGCTTCCCATCTTCGTGCGGTGTTGGATGCAAGCACAGACATGCAACCAGACATGCAACCAGACATGGACAACGAGTGAACAACGTGTAGTACACGAACTGGAGCTGTCATTTCGGCACAGCTGATGACTCAATTGAATGGTGTTATTGCATGACCTAAGCACCGCATCAAGAGCCAGCAGCAGTTGCGCTTCCCATCTTCGTGCGGTGTTGGATGCAAGCACAGACATGCAACCAGACATGCAACCAGACATGGGCAACGAGTGAACAACGTGTAGTACACGAACTGGAGCTGTCATTTCGGCACAGCTGATGACTCATTTGAATGGTGTTATTGCATGACCTAAGCACCGCATCAAGACCCAGCAGCAGTTGCGCTTCCCATCTTCGTGCGGTGTTGGATGCAAGCACAGACATGCAACCAGACATGCAACCAGACATGGGCAACGAGTGAACAACGTGTAGTACACGAAACGAACTGGAGCTGTCATTTCGGCACAATCGATGATTCCGACTCAATTGAATGGTGTTATTGCATGATCTAAGCGCCGAATCAAGATCCAGCAGCAGTTGCGCTTCCCATCTTCGTGCGGTGTTGGATGCAAGCACAGACATGCAACCAGACATGCAACCAGACATGGGCAACGAGTGAACAACGTGCGGGACACGAACTGGAGCTGTCATTTCGGCACAGCTGATGATTCCGACTCATATGAGAGGTTATTGCATGACCTAAGCACCGCATCAAGACCCAGCAGCAGTTGCGCTTCCCATCTTCGTGCGGTGTTGGATGCAAGCACAGACATGCAACCAGACATGCAACCAGACATGAGTAACGAGTGAACAAAGTGTAGTACACGAACTTGGAGCTATCACTTCGGTGCAGCTGATGATTCTGACTCATTTGTGAGGTGTTTTTTGCATGACCTAAGCACCGCATCAAGACCCAGCAGCAGTTGCGCTTCCCATCTTCGTGCGGTGTTGGATGCAAGCACAGACATGCAACCAGACATGCAACCAGACATGGGCAACGAGTGAACAACGTGTAGTACACGAACTGGAGCTGTCATTTCGGCACAGCTGATGACTCAATTGAATGGTGTTATTGCATGACCTAAGCACCGCATCAAGACCCAGCAGCAGTTGCGCTTCCCATCTTCGTGCGGTGTTGGATGCAAGCACAGACATGCAACCAGACATGCAACCAGACATGGGCAACGAGTGAACAACGTGCGGGAGCACGAACTGGAGCTGTCATTTCGGCACAGCTGGTGAATCAATTGAATGGTGTTATTGCATGACCTAAGCACCGCATCAAGACCCAGCAGCAGTTGCGCTTCCCATCTTCGTGCGGTGTTGAATGCAAGCACAGACATGCAACCAGACATGCAACCAGACATGGGCAACGAGTGAACAACGTGTAGTACACGAACTGAAGCTGTCATTTCGGCACAGCTGATGACTCAATTGAATGGTGTTATTGCATGACCTAAGCACCGCATCAAGACCCAGCAGCAGTTGCGCTTCCCATCTTCGTGCGGTGTTGGATGCAAGCATAGACATGCAACCAGACATGCAACCAGACATGGGCAACGAGTGAACAACGTGTAGTACACGAACTGGAGCTGTCATTTCGGCACAGCTGATGACTCAATTGAATGGTGTTATTGCATGACCTAAGCACCGCATCAAGACCCAGCAGCAGTTGCGCTTCCCATCTTCGTGCGGTGTTGGATGCAAGCATAGACATGCAACCAGACATGCAACCAGACATGGGCAACGAGTGAACAACGTGCGGTACACGAACTGGAGCTGTCATTTCGGCACAGCTGGTGACTCAATTTAATGGTGTTATTGCATGACCTAAGCACCGCATCAAGACCCAGCAGCAGTTGCGCTTCCCATCTTCGTGCGGTGTTGGATGCAAGCACAGACATGCAACCAGACATGCAACCAGACATGGGCAACGAGTGAACAACGTGCGGGACACGAACTGGAGCTGTCATTTCGGCACAGCTGATGATTCCGACTCATTTGAATGGTGTTATTGCATGACCTAAGCACCGCATCAAGAGCCAGCAGCAGTTGCGCTTCCCATCTTCGTGCGGTGTTGGATGCAAGCACGAACATGCAACCAGACATGCAACCAGACATGAGTAACGAGTGAACAAAGTGTAGTACACGAATTGGAGCTATCACTTCGGTGCAGCTGATGATTCTGACTCATTTGTGAGGTGTTTTTGCATGACCTAAGCACCGCATCAAGACCCAGCAGCAGTTGCGCTTCCCATCTTCGTGCGGTGTTGGATGCAAGCACAGACATGCAACCAGACATGCAACCAGACATGGGCAACGAGTGAACAACGTGTAGTACACGAAACGAACTGGAGCTGTCATTTCGGCACAGCTGATGACTCAATTGAATGGTGTTATTGCATGACCTAAGCACCGCATCAAGACCCAGCAGCAGTTGCGCTTCCCATCTTCGTGCGGTGTTGGATGCAAGCACAGACATGCAACCAGACATGCAACCAGACATGGGCAACGAGTGAACAACGTGCGGGACACGAACTGGAGCTGTCATTTCGGCACAGCTGGTGACTCAATTGAATGGTGTTATTGCATGACCTAAGCACCGCATCAAGACCCAGCAGCAGTTGCGCTTCCCATCTTCGTGCGGTGTTGGATGCAAGCACAGACATGCAACCAGACATGCAACCAGACATGGGCAACGAGTGAACAACGTGTAGTACACGAACTGGAGCTGTCATTTCGGCACAGCTGATGACTCAATTGAATGGTGTTATTGCATGACCTAAGCACCGCATCAAGACCCAGCAGCAGTTGCGCTTCCCATCTTCGTGCGGTGTTGGATGCAAGCACAGACATGCAACCAGACATGGGCAACCTGACATGGGCAACGAGTGAACAACGTGCAATACACGAACTGGAGCTGTCATTTCGGCACAGCTGATGACTCAATTGAATGGTGTTATTGCATGACCTAAGCAACGCATCAAGACCCAGCAGCAGTTGCGCTTCCCATCTTCGTGCGGTGTTGGATGCAAGCATAGACATGCAACCAGACATGCAACCAGACATGGGCAACGAGTGAACAACGTGCGGGACACGAACTGGAGCTGTCATTTCGGCACAGCTGATGACTCAATTGAATGGTGTTATTGCATGACCTAAGCACCGCATCAAGACCCAGCAGCAGTTGCGCTTCCCATCTTCGTGCGGTGTTGGATGCAAGCACAGACATGCAACCAGACATGCAACCAGACATGGGCAACGAGTGAACAACGTGCGGTACACGAACTGGAGCTGTCATTTCGGCGCAGCTGATGACTCAATTGAATGGTGTTATTGCATGACCTAAGCACCGCATCAAGACCCAGCAGCAGTTGCGCTTCCCATCTTCGTGCGGTGTTGGATGCAAGCACAGACATGCAACCAGACATGCAACCAGACATGGGCAACGAGTGAACAACGTGCGGGACACGAACTGGAGCTGTCATTTCGGCACAGCTGATGACTCAATTGAATGGTGTTATTGCATGACCTAAGCACCGCATCAAGACCCAGCAGCAGTTGCGCTTCCCATCTTCGTGCGGTGTTGGATGCAAGCACAGACATGCAACCAGACATGGGCAACGAGTGAACAACGTGCGGTACACGAACTGGAGCTGTCATTTCGGCACAGCTGATGACTCAATTGAATGGTGTTATTGCATGACCTAAGCACCGCATCAAGACCCAGCAGCAGTTGCGCTTCCCATCTTCGTGCGGTGTTGGATGCAAGCACAGACATGCAACCAGACATGCAACCAGACATGGGCAACGAGTGAACAACGTGCGGGACACGAACTGGAGCTGTCATTTCGGCACAGCTGATGACTCAATTGAATGGTGTTATTGCATGACCTAAGCACCGCATCAAGACCCAGCAGCAGTTGCGCTTCCCATCTTCGTGCGGTGTTGGATGCAAGCACAGACATGCAACCAGACATGCAACCAGACATGGGCAACGAGTGAACAACGTGCGGGACACGAACTGGAGCTGTCATTTCGGCACAGCTGATGACTCAATTGAATGGTGTTATTGCATGACCTAAGCACCGCATCAAGACCCAGCAGCAGTTGCGCTTCCCATCTTCGTGCGGTGTTGGATGCAAGCACAGACATGCAACCAGACATGGGCAACGAGTGAACAACGTGTGGTACACGAACTGGAGCTGTCATTTCGGCACAGCTGATGACTCAATTGAATGGTGTTATTGCATGACCTAAGCACCGCATCAAGACCCAGCAGCAGTTGCGCTTCCCATCTTCGTGCGGTGTTGGATGCAAGCATAGACATGCAACCAGACATGCAACCAGACATGGGCAACGAGTGAACAACGTGCGGGACACGAACTGGAGCTGTCATTTCGGCACAGCTGATGACTCAATTGAATGGTGTTATTGCATGACCTAAGCACCGCATCAAGAGCCAGCAGCAGTTGCGCTTCCCATCTTCGTGCGGTGTTGGATGCAAGCACAGACATGCAACCAGACATGCAACCAGACATGGGCAACGAGTGAACAACGTGCGGGACACGAACTGGAGCTGTCATTTCGGCGCAGCTGATGACTCAATTGAATGGTGTTATTGCATGACCTAAGCACCGCATCAAGACCCAGCAGCAGTTGCGCTTCCCATCTTCGTGCGGTGTTGGATGCAAGCATAGACATGCAACCAGACATGCAACCAGACATGGGCAACGAGTGAACAACGTGTAGTACACGAACTGGAGCTGTCATTTCGGCACAGCTGGTGACTCAATTGAATGGTGTTATTGCATGACCTAAGCACCGCATCAAGACCCAGCAGCAGTTGCGCTTCCCATCTTCGTGCGGTGTTGGATGCAAGCACAGACATGCAACCAGACATGCAACCAGACATGGGCAACGAGTGAACAACGTGTAGTACACGAACTGGAGCTGTCATTAAGGCGCAGCTGATGATTACGACTGATTAAGAGGTGTTATTGCATGACCTAAGCACCGCATCAAGACCCAGCAGCAGTTGCGCTTCCCATCTTCGTGCGGTGTTGGATGCAAGCACATGCAACCAGACATGCAACCAGACATGGGCAACGAGTGAACAACGTGTAGGACACGAACTGGAGCTGTCATTTCGGCGCAGCTGATGATTACGACTTATTGAAGAGGTGTTATTGCATGACCTAAGCACCGCATTAAGACCCAGCAGCAGTTGCGCTTCCCATCTTCGTGCGGTGTTGGATGCAAGCACAGACATGCAACCAGACATGCAACCAGACATGGGCAACGAGTGAACAACGTGCGGGACACGAACTGGAGCTGTCATTTCGGCACAGCTGATGACTCAATTGAATGGTGTTATTGCATGACCTAAGCACCGCATCAAGACCCAGCAGCAGTTGCGCTTCCCATCTTCGTGCGGTGTTGGATGCAAGCACAGACATGCAACCAGACATGCAACCAGACATGGGCAACGAGTGAACAACGTGTAGTACACGAACTGGAGCTGTCATTTCGGCGCAGCTGATGACTCAATTGAATGGTGTTATTGCATGACCTAAGCACCGCATCAAGACCCAGCAGCAGTTGCGCTTCCCATCTTCGTGCGGTGTTGGATGCAAGCATAGACATGCAACCAGACATGCAACCAGACATGGGCAACGAGTGAACAACGTGTAGTACACGAACTGGAGCTGTCATTTCGGCGCAGCTGATGACTCAATTGAATGGTGTTATTGCATGACCTAAGCACCGCATCAAGACCCAGCAGCAGTTGCGCTTCCCATCTTCGTGCGGTGTTGGATGCAAGCATAGACATGCAACCAGACATGCAACCAGACATGGGCAACGAGTGAACAACGTGTAGTACACGAACTGGAGCTGTCATTTCGGCGCAGCTGATGATTACGACTGATTAAGAGGTGTTATTGCATGACCTAAGCACCGCATCAAGACCCAGCAGCAGTTGCGCTTCCCATCTTCGTGCGGTGTTGGATACAAGCATAGACAAGCAACCAGACAAGCAACCAGACATGCAACCAGACATCGGCAACAAGTGAACAACGTGTAGTACACGAACTGGAGCTGTCATTTCGGCACAGCTGATGACTCAATTGAATGGTGTTATTGCATGACCTAAGCACCGCATCAAGACCCAGCAGCAGTTGCGCTTCCCATCTTCGTGCGGTGTTGGATACAAGCATAGACATGCAACCAGACATGCAACCAGACATGGGCAACGAGTGAACAACGTGCGGGACACGAACTGGAGCTGTCATTTCGGCACAGCTGATGACTCAATTGAATGGTGTTATTGCATGACCTAAGCACCGCATCAAGACCCAGCAGCAGTTGCGCTTCCCATCTTCGTGCGGTGTTGGATGCAAGCATAGACATGCAACCAGACATGGGCAACGAGTGAACAACGTGTAGTACACGAACTGGAGCTGTCATTTCGGCACAGCTGATGACTCAATTGAATGGTGTTATTGCATGACCTAAGCACCGCATCAAGAGCCAGCAGCAGTTGCGCTTCCCATCTTCGTGCGGTGTTGGATGCAAGCATAGACATGCAACCAGACATGGGCAACGAGTGAACAACGTGTAGTACACGAATTGGAGCTGTCATTTCGGCACAGCTGATGATTCCGACTCAATTGAATGGTGTTATTGCATGACCTAAGCACCGCATCAAGACCCAGCAGCAGTTGCGCTTCCCATCTTCGTGCGGTGTTGGATGCAAGCACAGACATGCAACCAGACATGCAACCAGACATGGGCAACGAGTGAACAACGTGCGGTACACGAACTGGAGCTGTCATTTCGGCACAGCTGATGACTCAATTGAATGGTGTTATTGCATGACCTAAGCACCGCATCAAGACCCAGCAGCAGTTGCGCTTCCCATCTTCGTGCGGTGTTGGATGCAAGCACAGACATGCAACCAGACATGCAACCAGACATGGGCAACGAGTGAACAACGTGTAGTACACGAACTGGAGCTGTCATTTCGGCACAGCTGATGACTCAATTGAATGGTGTTATTGCATGACCTAAGCACCGCATCAAGACCCAGCAGCTGTTGCGCTTCCCATCTTCGTGCGGTGTTGGATGCAAGCACAGACATGCAACCAGACATGCAACCAGACATGGGCAACGAGTGAACAACGTTCGGGACACGAACTGGAGCTGTCATTTCGGCGCAGCTGATGACTCAATTGAATGGTGTTATTGCATGACCTAAGCACCGCATTAAGACCCAGCAGCAGTTGCGCTTCCCATCTTCGTGCGGTGTTGGATGCAAGCATAGACATGCAACCAGACATGCAACCAGACATGGGCAACGAGTGAACAACGTGTAGTACACGAACTGAAGCTGTCATTTCGGCACAGCTGATGACTCAATTGAATGGTGTTATTGCATGACCTAAGCACCGCATCAAGAGCCAGCAGCAGTTGCGCTTCCCATCTTCGTGCGGTGTTGGATGCAAGCACAGACATGCAACCAGACATGGGCAACGAGTGAACAACGTGCGGGACACGAATTGGAGCTGTCATTACGGCACAGCTGATGCCTCAATTGAATGGTGTTATTGCATGACCTAAGCACCGCATCAAGACCCAGCAGCAGTTGCGCTTCCCATCTTCGTGCGGTGTTGGATGCAAGCACAGACATGCAACCAGACATGGGCAACGAGTGAACAACGTGCGGGACACGAACTGGAGCTGTCATTTCGGCACAGCTGATGACTCAATTGAATCGTGTTATTGCATGACCTAAGCACCGCATCAAGACCCAGCAGCAGTTGCGCTTCCCATCTTCGTGCGGTGTTGGATGCAAGCACAGACATGCAACCAGACATGGGCAGCGAGTGAACAACGTGCGGGACACGAACTGGAGCTGTCATTTCGGCACAGCTGATGACTCAATTGAATCGTGTTATTGCATGACCTAAGCACCGCATCAAGACCCAGCAGCAGTTGCGCTTCCCATCTTCGTGCGGTGTTGGATGCAAGCACAGACATGCAACCAGACATGGGCAACGAGTGAACAACGTGCGGGACACGAACTGGAGCTGTCATTTCGGCACATCTGAGGATTCCGACTCATGTGAGAGGTGTTATTGCATGACCTAAGCACCGCATCAAGACCCAGCAGCAGTTGCGCTTCCCATCTTCGTGCGGTGTTGGATGCAAGCACAGACATGCAACCAGACATGGGCAACGAGTGAACAACGTGCGGGACACGAACTGGAGCTGTCATTTCGGCACAGCTGATGACTCAATTGAATCGTGTTATTGCATGACCTAAGCACCGCATCAAGACCCAGCAGCAGTTGCGCTTCCCATCTTCGTGCGGTGTTGGATGCAAGCACAGACATGCAACCAGACATGGGCAACGAGTGAACAACGTGCGGGACACGAACTGGAGCTGTCATTTCGGCACATCTGATGATTCCGACTCATATGAGAGGTGTTATTGCATGACCTAAGCACCGCATCAAGACCCAGCAGCAGTTGCGCTTCCCATCTTCGTGCGGTGTTGGATGCAAGCACAGACATGCAACCAGACATGGGCAACGAGTGAACAACGTGCGGGACACGAACTGGAGCTGTCATTTCGGCACATCTGATGATTCCGACTCATATGAGAGGTGTTATTGCATGACCTAAGCACCGCATCAAGACCCAGCAGCAGTTGCGCTTCCCATCTTCGTGCGGTGTTGGATGCAAGCACAGACATGCAACCAGACATGCAACCAGACATGGACAACGAGTGAACAACGTGTAGTACACGAACTGGAGCTGTCATTTCGGCACAGCTGATGACTCAATTGAATGGTGTTATTGCATGACCTAAGCACCGCATCAAGAGCCAGCAGCAGTTGCGCTTCCCATCTTCGTGCGGTGTTGGATGCAAGCACAGACATGCAACCAGACATGCAACCAGACATGGACAACGAGTGAACAACGTGTAGTACACGAACTGGAGCTGTCATTTCGGCACAGCTGATGACTCATTTGAATGGTGTTATTGCATGACCTAAGCACCGCATCAAGACCCAGCAGCAGTTGCGCTTCCCATCTTCGTGCGGTGTTGGATGCAAGCACAGACATGCAACCAGACATGCAACTAGACATGGGCAACGAGTGAACAACGTGCGGTACACGAACTGGAGCTGTCATTTCGGCACAATCGATGATTCGACTCAATTGAATGGTGTTATCGAATGATCTAAGCACCGCATCAAGAGCCAGCAACAGTTGCGCTTCCCATCTTCGTGCGGTGTTGGATGCAAGCACAGACATGCAACCAGACATGCAACCAGACATGGGCAACGAGTGAACAACGTGCGGTACACGAACTGGAGCTGTCATTTCGGCACAGCTGATGACTCAATTGAATGGTGTTATTGCATGACCTCAGCACCGCATCAAGACCCAGCAGCAGTTGCGCTTCCCATCTTCGTGCGGTGTTGGATGCAAGCACAGACATGCAGCCAGACATGCAACCAGACATGGGCAACGAGTGAACAACGTGCGGGACACGAACTGGAGCTGTCATTTCGGCACAGCTGATGACTCAATTGAATGGTGTTATTGCATGACCTAAGCACCGCATCAAGACCCAGCAGCTGTTGCGCTTCCCATCTTCGTGCGGTGTTGGATGCAAGCACAGACATGCAACCAGACATGCAACCAGACATGGGCAACGAGTGAACAACGTTCGGGACACGAACTGGAGCTGTCATTTCGGCGCAGCTGATGACTCAATTGAATGGTGTTATTGCATGACCTAAGCACCGCATTAAGACCCAGCAGCAGTTGCGCTTCCCATCTTCGTGCGGTGTTGGATGCAAGCATAGACATGCAACCAGACATGCAACCAGACATGGGCAACGAGTGAACAACGTGTAGTACACGAACTGAAGCTGTCATTTCGGCACAGCTGATGACTCAATTGAATGGTGTTATTGCATGACCTAAGCACCGCATCAAGAGCCAGCAGCAGTTGCGCTTCCCATCTTCGTGCGGTGTTGGATGCAAGCACAGACATGCAACCAGACATGGGCAACGAGTGAACAACGTGCGGGACACGAATTGGAGCTGTCATTTCGGCACAGCTGATGACTCAATTGAATCGTGTTATTGCATGACCTAAGCACCGCATCAAGACCCAGCAGCAGTTGCGCTTCCCATCTTCGTGCGGTGTTGGATGCAAGCACAGACATGCAACCAGACATGGGCAACGAGTGAACAACGTGCGGGACACGAACTGGAGCTGTCATTTCGGCACAGCTGATGACTCAATTGAATCGTGTTATTGCATGACCTAAGCACCGCATCAAGACCCAGCAGCAGTTGCGCTTCCCATCTTCGTGCGGTGTTGGATGCAAGCACAGACATGCAACCAGACATGGGCAACGAGTGAACAACGTGCGGGACACGAACTGGAGCTGTCATTTCGGCACATCTGAGGATTCCGACTCATGTGAGAGGTGTTATTGCATGACCTAAGCACCGCATCAAGACCCAGCAGCAGTTGCGCTTCCCATCTTCGTGCGGTGTTGGATACAAGCATAGACATGCAACCAGACATGCAACCAGACATGGGCAACGAGTGAACAACGTGCGGGACACGAACTGGAGCTGTCATTTCGGCACAGCTGATGACTCAATTGAATCGTGTTATTGCATGACCTAAGCACCGCATCAAGACCCAGCAGCAGTTGCGCTTCCCATCTTCGTGCGGTGTTGGATGCAAGCACAGACATGCAACCAGACATGGGCAACGAGTGAACAACGTGCGGGACACGAACTGGAGCTGTCATTTCGGCACATCTGATGATTCCGACTCATATGAGAGGTGTTATTGCATGACCTAAGCACCGCATCAAGACCCAGCAGCAGTTGCGCTTCCCATCTTCGTGCGGTGTTGGATGCAAGCACAGACATGCAACCAGACATGGGCAACGAGTGAACAACGTGCGGGACACGAACTGGAGCTGTCATTTCGGCACATCTGATGATTCCGACTCATATGAGAGGTGTTATTGCATGACCTAAGCACCGCATCAAGACCCAGCAGCAGTTGCGCTTCCCATCTTCGTGCGGTGTTGGATGCAAGCACAGACATGCAACCAGACATGCAACCAGACATGGACAACGAGTGAACAACGTGTAGTACACGAACTGGAGCTGTCATTTCGGCACAGCTGATGACTCAATTGAATGGTGTTATTGCATGACCTAAGCACCGCATCAAGAGCCAGCAGCAGTTGCGCTTCCCATCTTCGTGCGGTGTTGGATGCAAGCACAGACATGCAACCAGACATGCAACCAGACATGGGCAACGAGTGAACAACGTGTAGTACACGAACTGGAGCTGTCATTTCGGCACAGCTGATGACTCATTTGAATGGTGTTATTGCATGACCTAAGCACCGCATCAAGACCCAGCAGCAGTTGCGCTTCCCATCTTCGTGCGGTGTTGGATGCAAGCACAGACATGCAACCAGACATGCAACCAGACATGGGCAACGAGTGAACAACGTGTAGTACACGAAACGAACTGGAGCTGTCATTTCGGCACAATCGATGATTCCGACTCAATTGAATGGTGTTATTGCATGATCTAAGCGCCGAATCAAGATCCAGCAGCAGTTGCGCTTCCCATCTTCATGCGGTGTTGGATGCAAGCACAGACATGCAACCGGACATGCAACCAGACATGGGCAACGAGTGAACAACGTGCGGGACACGAACTGGAGCTGTCATTTCGGCACATCTGATGATTCCGACTCATATGAGAGGTGTTATTGCATGACCTAAGCACCGCATCAAGACCCAGCAGCAGTTGCGCTTCCCATCTTCGTGCGGTGTTGGATGCAAGCACAGACATGCAACCAGACATGCAACCAGACATGAGTAACGAGTGAACAAAGTGTAGTACACGACTTGGAGCTATCACTTCGGTGCAGCTGATGATTCTGACTCATTTGTGAGGTGTTTTTGCATGACCTAAGCACCGCATCAAGACCCAGCAGCAGTTGCGCTTCCCATCTTCGTGCGGTGTTGGATGCAAGCACAGACATGCAACCAGACATGCAACCAGACATGGGCAACGAGTGAACAACGTGTAGTACACGAAACGAACTGGAGCTGTCATTTCGGCACAGCTGATGACTCAATTGAATGGTGTTATTGCATGACCTAAGCACCGCATCAAGAGCCAGCAGCAGTTGCGCTTCCCATCTTCGTGCGGTGTTGGATGCAAGCACAGACATGCAACCAGACATGCAACCAGACATGGGCAACGAGTGAACAACGTGCGGGGCACGAACTGGAGCTGTCATTTCGGCACAGCTGGTGAATCAATTGAATGGTGTTATTGCATGACCTAAGCACCGCATCAAGACCCAGCAGCAGTTGCGCTTCCCATCTTCGTGCGGTGTTGAATACAAGCACAGACATGCAACCAGACATGCAACCAGACATGGGCAACGAGTGAACAACGTGTAGTACACGAACTGAAGCTGTCATTTCGGCACAGCTGATGACTCAATTGAATGGTGTTATTGCATGACCTAAGCACCGCATCAAGACCCAGCAGCAGTTGCGCTTCCCATCTTCGTGCGGTGTTGGATGCAAGCACAGACATGCAACCGGACATGCAACCAGACATGGGCAACGAGTGAACAACGTGTGGTACACGAACTGGAGCTGTCATTTCGGCACAGCTGATGACTCAATTGAATGGTGTTATTGCATGACCTAAGCACCGCATCAAGACCCAGCAGCAGTTGCGCTTCCCATCTTCGTGCGGTGTTGGATGCAAGCACAGACATGCAACCAGACATGCAACCAGACATGGGCAACGAGTGAACAACGTGCGGGACACGAACTGGAGCTGTCATTTCGGCACAGCTGATGACTCAATTGAATGGTGTTATTGCATGACCTAAGCACCGCATCAAGACCCAGCAGCAGTTGCGCTTCCCATCTTCGTGCGGTGTTGGATGCAAGCACAGACATGCAACCAGACATGCAACCAGACATGGGCAACGAGTGAACAACGTGCGGGACACGAACTGGAGCTGTCATTTCGGCACAGCTGATGATTCCGACTCAATTGAATGGTGTTATTGCATGACCTAAGCACCGCATCAAGACCCAGCAGCAGTTGCGCTTCCCATCTTCGTGCGGTGTTGGATGCAAGCACAGACATGCAACCAGACATGGGCAAAGAGTGAACAACGTGCGGGACACGAACTGGAGCTGTCATTTCGGCGCAGCTGATGATTACGACTGATTAAGAGGTGTTATTGCATGACCTAAGCACCGCATCAAGACCCAGCAGCAGTTGCGCTTCCCATCTTCGTGCGGTGTTGGATGCAAGCACAGACATGCAACCAGACATGCAACCAGACATGGGCAACGAGTGAACAACGTGTAGTACACGAACTGGAGCTGTCATTTCGGCACAGCTGATGACTCAATTGAATGGTGTTATTGCATGACCTAAGCACCGCATCAAGACCCAGCAGCAGTTGCGCTTCCCATCTTCGTGCGGTGTTGGATGCAAGCACAGACATGCAACCAGACATGCAACCAGACATGGGCAACGAGTGAACAACGTGTAGTACACGAACTGGAGCTGTCATTTCGGCACAGCTGATGACTCAATTGAATGGTGTTATTGCATGACCTAAGCACCGCATCAAGACCCAGCAGCAATTGCGCTTCCCATCTTCGTGCGGTGTTGGATGCAAGCACAGACATGCAACCAGACATGCAACCAGACATGGGCAACAAGTGAACAACGTGTAGGACACGAATTGGAGCTGTCATTACGGCACAGCTGATGCCTACGACTCAATTGAATGGTGTTATTGCATGACCTAAGCACCGCATCAAGACATAGCAGCAGTTGCGCTTCCCATCTTCGTGCGGTGTTGGATGCAAGCACAGACATGCAACCAGACATGCAACCAGACACGGGCAACAAGTGAACAACGTGCGGGACACGAACTGGAGCTGTCATTTCGGCACAGCTGATGACTCAATTGAATGGTGTTATTGCATGACCTAAGCACCGCATCAAGACCCAGCAGCAGTTGCGCTTCCCATCTTCGTGCGGTGTTGGATGCAAGCACAGACATGCAACCAGACATGCAACCAGACATGGGCAACGAGTGAACAACGTGTAGTACACGAACTGGAGCTGTCATTTCGGCACAGCTGATGACTCAATTGAATGGTGTTATTGCATGACCTAAGCACCGCATCAAGACCCAGCAGCAATTGCGCTTCCCATCTTCGTGCGGTGTTGGATGCAAGCACAGACATGCAACCAGACATGCAACCAGACATGGGCAACAAGTGAACAACGTGTAGGACACGAATTAGAGCTGTCATTACGGCGCAGCTGATGATTACGACTGATTAAGAAGTGTTATTGCATGACCTAAGCACCGCATCAAGACCCAGCAGCAGTTGCGCTTCCCATCTTCGTGCGGTGTTGGATGCAAGCACAGACATGCAACCAGACATGGGCAACAAGTGAACAACGTGTAGGACACGAATTGGAGCTGTCATTTCGGCACAGCTGATGACTCAATTGAATGGTGTTATTGCATGACCTAAGCACCGCATCAAGACCTAGCAGCAGTTGCGCTTCCCATCTTCGTGCGGTGTTGGATGCAAGCACAGACATGCAACCAGACATGCAACCAGACATGGGCAACAAGTGAACAACGTGTAGGACACGAATTAGAGCTGTCATTACGGCGCAGCTGATGATTACGACTGATTAAGAAGTGTTATTGCATGACCTAAGCACCGCATCAAGACCCAGCAGCAGTTGCGCTTCCCATCTTCGTGCGGTGTTGGATGCAAGCACAGACATGCAACCAGACATGGGCAACAAGTGAACAACGTGTAGGACACGAATTGGAGCTGTCATTTCGGCACAGCTGATGACTCAATTGAATGGTGTTATTGCATGACCTAAGCACCGCATCAAGACCCAGCAGCAATTGCGCTTCCCATCTTCGTGCGGTGTTGGATGCAAGCACAGACATGCAACCAGACATGCAACCAGACATGGGCAACAAGTGAACAACGTGTAGGACACGAATTAGAGCTGTCATTACGGCGCAGCTGATGATTACGACTGATTAAGAAGTGTTATTGCATGACCTAAGCACCGCATCAAGACCCAGCAGCAGTTGCGCTTCCCATCTTCGTGCGGTGTTGGATGCAAGCACAGACATGCAACCAGACATGGGCAACAAGTGAACAACGTGTAGGACACGAATTGGAGCTGTCATTTCGGCACAGCTGATGACTCAATTGAATGGTGTTATTGCATGACCTAAGCACCGCATCAAGACCCAGCAGCAGTTGCGCTTCCCATCTTCGTGCGGTGTTGGATGCAAGCACAGACATGCAACCAGACATGCAACCAGACATGGGCAACAAGTGAACAACGTGTAGGACACGAATTGGAGCTGTCATTACGGCGCAGCTGATGATTACGACTCAATTGAATGGTGTTATTGCATGACCTAAGCACCGCATCAAGACCCAGCAGCAGTTGCGCTTCCCATCTTCGTGCGGTGTTGGATGCAAGCACAGACATGCAACCAGACATGCAACCAGACATGGGCAACAAGTGAACAACGTGCGGGACACGAACTGGAGCTGTCATTTCGGCACAGCTGATGACTCAATTGAATGGTGTTATTGCATGACCTAAGCACCGCATCAAGACCCAGCAGCAGTTGCGCTTCCCATCTTCGTGCGGTGTTGGATGCAAGCACAGACATGCAACCAGACATGCAACCAGACATGGGCAACGAGTGAACAACGTGCGGGACACGAACTGGAGCTGTCATTTCGGCACAGCTGGTGACATCAATTGAATGGTGTTATTGCATGACCTAAGCACCGCATCAAGACCCAGCAGCAGTTGCGCTTCCCATCTTCGTGCGGTGTTGGATGCAAGCACAGACATGCAACCAGACATGCAACCAGACATGGGCAACGAGTGAACAACGTGTGGTACACGAACTGGAGCTGTCATTTCGGCACAGCTGATGACTCAATTGAATGGTGTTATTGCATGACCTAAGCACCGCATCAAGACCCAGCAGCAGTTGCGCTTCCCATCTTCGTGCGGTGTTGGATGCAAGCACAGACATGCAACCAGACATGCAACCAGACATGGGCAACGAGTGAACAACGTGCGGTACACGAACTGGAGCTGTCATTTCGGCACAGCTGGTGACTCAATTGAATGGTGTTATTGCATGACCTAAGCACCGCATCAAGACCCAGCAGCAGTTGCGCTTCCCATCTTCGTGCGGTGTTGGATACAAGCACAGACATGCAACCAGACATGCAACCAGACATGGGCAACGAGTGAACAACGTGCGGGACACGAACTGGAGCTGTCATTTCGGCACAGCTGATGACTCAATTGAATGGTGTTATTGCATGACCTAAGCACCGCATCAAGACCCAGCAGCAGTTGCGCTTCCCATCTTCGTGCGGTGTTGGATGCAAGCACAGACATGCAACCAGACATGCAACCAGACATGGGCAACGAGTGAACAACGTGCGGTACACGAACTGGAGCTGTCATTTCGGCACAGCTGATGACTCAATTGAATGGTGTTATTGCATGACCTAAGCACCGCATCAAGACCCAGCAGCAGTTGCGCTTCCCATCTTCGTGCGGTGTTGGATGCAAGCACAGACATGCAACCAGACATGCAACCAGACATGGGCAACGAGTGAACAACGTGTGTAGTACACGAACTGGAGCTATCATTTCGGCGCAGCTGATGATTCTGACTCAATTGAATGGTGTTATTGCATGACCTAAGCACCGCATCAAGACCCAGCAGCAGTTGCGCTTCCCATCTTCGTGCGGTGTTGGATGCAAGCACAGACATGCAACCAGACATGCAACCAGACATGGGCAACGAGTGAACAACGTGCGGTACACGAACTGGAGCTGTCATTTCGGCACAGCTGATGACTCAATTGAATGGTGTTATTGCATGACCTAAGCACCGCATCAAGACCCAGCAGCAGTTGCGCTTCCCATCTTCGTGCGGTGTTGGATGCAAGCACAGACATGCAACCAGACATGCAACCAGACATGGGCAACGAGTGAACAACGTGCGGGACACGAACTGGAGCTGTCATTTCGGCACAGCTGATGACTACTCAATTGAATGGTGTTATTGCATGACCTAAGCACCGCATCAAGACCCAGCAGCAGTTGCGCTTCCCATCTTCGTGCGGTGTTGGATGCAAGCACAGACATGCAACCAGACATGCAACCAGACATGGGCAACGAGTGAACAACGTGCGGGACACGAACTGGAGCTGTCATTTCGGCACAGCTGATGACTCAATTGAATGGTGTTATTGCATGACCTAAGCACCGCATCAAGACCCAGCAGCAGTTGCGCTTCCCATCTTCGTGCGGTGTTGGATGCAAGCACAGACATGCAACCAGACATGCAACCAGACATGGGCAACGAGTGAACAACGTGTGGTACACGAACTGGAGCTGTCATTTCGGCACAGCTGATGACTCAATTGAATGGTGTTATTGCATGACCTAAGCACCGCATCAAGACCCAGCAGCAGTTGCGCTTCCCATCTTCGTGCGGTGTTGGATGCAAGCACAGACATGCAACCAGACATGCAACCAGACATGGGCAACGAGTGAACAACGTGCGGGACACGAACTGGAGCTGTCATTTCGGCACAGCTGATGACTCAATTGAATGGTGTTATTGCATGACCTAAGCACCGCATCAAGACCCAGCAGCAGTTGCGCTTCCCATCTTCGTGCGGTGTTGGATGCAAGCACAGACATGCAACCAGACATGCAACCAGACATGGGCAACGAGTGAACAACGTTCGGGACACGAACTGGAGCTGTCATTTCGGCACAGCTGATGACTCAATTGAATGGTGTTATTGCATGACCTAAGCACCGCATCAAGACCCAGCAGCAGTTGCGCTTCCCATCTTCGTGCGGTGTTGGATGCAAGCACAGACATGCAACCAGACATGCAACCAGACATGGGCAACGAGTGAACAACGTGCGGGACACGAACTGGAGCTGTCATTTCGGCACAGCTGATGACTCAATTGAATGGTGTTATTGCATGACCTAAGCACCGCATCAAGACCCAGCAGCAGTTGCGCTTCCCATCTTCGTGCGGTGTTGGATGCAAGCACAGACATGCAACCAGACATGCAACCAGACATGGGCAACGAGTGAACAACGTGCGGGACACGAACTGGAGCTGTCATTTCGGCACAGCTGATGACTCAATTGAATGGTGTTATTGCATGACCTAAGCACCGCATCAAGACCCAGCAGCAGTTGCGCTTCCCATCTTCGTGCGGTGTTGGATGCAAGCACAGACATGCAACCAGACATGCAACCAGACATGGGCAACGAGTGAACAACGTGCGGGACACGAACTGGAGCTGTCATTTCGGCACAGCTGATGACTCAATTGAATGGTGTTATTGCATGACCTAAGCACCGCATCAAGACCCAGCAGCAGTTGCGCTTCCCATCTTCGTGCGGTGTTGGATGCAAGCACAGACATGCAACCAGACATGGGCAAAGAGTGAACAACGTGCGGGACACGAACTGGAGCTGTCATTTCGGCACAGCTGATGACTCAATTGAATGGTGTTATTGCATGACCTAAGCACCGCATCAAGACCCAGCAGCAGTTGCGCTTCCCATCTTCGTGCGGTGTTGGATGCAAGCATAGACATGCAACCAGACATGCAACCAGACATGGGCAACGAGTGAACAACGTGTAGTACACGAACTGGAGCTGTCATTTCGGCACAGCTGATGACTCAATTGAATGGTGTTATTGCATGACCTAAGCACCGCATCAAGACCCAGCAGCAGTTGCGCTTCCCATCTTCGTGCGGTGTTGGATGCAAGCACAGACATCAACCAGACATGCAACCAGACATGGGCAACGAGTGAACAACGTGCGGTACACGAACTGGAGCTGTCATTTCGGCACAGCTGATGACTCAATTGAATGGTGTTATTGCATGACCTAAGCACCGCATCAAGACCCAGCAGCAGTTGCGCTTCCCATCTTCGTGCGGTGTTGGATGCAAGCATAGACATGCAACCAGACATGCAACCAGACATGGGCAACGAGTG